AGCCACTAAATGTTCAGCTGTTTTCAAACTGCAACACCATTACGATCTACAGAGAACAAACTCTTATTAAAGTGAGAACAATCAGCAGTAAGTAAACATTAGGGATGAAATAAATGTAAAGGCACTGGAGAATTATTTTACATAGCAAGGCCCTCGAAATAATACCTTCACATTACAAGCCATTATAGCATTTATACAGTCACTTTGCACACCATCAAAGCTGAACCACCTCCTCACTGACAGGAGCCTTCCTGTACCTGCATATACCTTTCACCTAGGGCTGTACCGAATGCTATTTGTTTTCCATTTAAAGCTTTTAGTGAGGTTTTCAAATGAAGCTGCATATGTCTGTCATCATTTTCAAATGAAATGAATTAGTCTTTTTTTTTTAAATCAACTTTCTTTATGAATATAAGTCATTGGTTATGTCAGTATAAATACATGTAGGCAGCGGGCTAATCCAGTAAGGGCAAAAAATTATGATGAAATAATAAAAGCACAGGCGGCACGGTGGTACAGTGGTTAGCATTGTTGCCTCACAGCAAGAGGGTTCCTGGTTCAAATCCGGGGCTGGGGGGCTCAAACCCCACGATGTGGGAGCCCTTCTGTGTGGAGTTTGCATGTTCTCCCCGTGTCAGCGTGGGTTTTCTCCAGGTACTCCAGCTTCCTCCCACAGTCCAAAGACATGCAGGCTAATTGGTGACTCTAAACTGCCCGTAGGTGTGAATGTGAGTATGAATTGTTGTCTGTCTCTATGTGTCAGCCCTGTGATAGTCTGGTGACCTGTCCAGGGTGTACCCTGCCTCTTGCTCAATGTCAGCTGGGATAGGCTCCTGCCCCCCATGACCTCTAACATGATAGGCGGTTACCGAAATGCATTTAAATTAAAGTGTTTGCATTTTTTTCTGCTCAACATTTGAACAGCTCGGTGCAGAAATACGGCGTGACTAGCAGTCACTCATTGTGCCAAAGATGGGGCCTGTAACCACGATAACAATGTCACAAAGGAGCCTACTGTAGAATGAAGGGAAATATTTCATTAGATACAAATATGTTGTGAATTTTGGATATGATTACATCTATCTATTTTCAATACATTTGGACTTCACAACACTCACACGAGTTGGAAACAATCCTACGCAGCCACCACTGGAATCTAATTCTACAAATACAATAATACTACTAATATTAGTGAAGCTAAACTTTATCTGTAATTGTGCAGAAATACCTGGGTTTAAAGAGAAAAACTGTGCAGCACATTCAAATGTTAATTCAGAATTTAAGGCCTCAAAGCTTTGAAATATTCGGTACAGCCCTACTTTTACCATTCAAATGTCTTCCAGCATCAATCTACACAGTCTGGTATCATCCAAGCAGGAGAGCATATAAGCTATTGGTTTATATATACTGTACATACACACATGACAAGTTGAAATCTATTCCCACTTTTCAGATGCCACCATATTTCAAGACAGTTTCTATAAAAGAGTTCCAATGCTAGTGGATACAACAGATGTAAACAAGCCATTAAAGCCTTTAAATAGGTTTCCGTAACATTTAGTTACACAACAGTCCAAGTAACAGGAAGGAACATACATAGCTGTCTAAGGCACTGGGTGCACTCTCATGCAGATTAAGCCCAAATTTGCTATTTTCAATGATCTCAGAAAAAGACTCCCTCCTCCAAACCAAACACTTTCCCCTTTGGCCACATCACAGAAGACAATGAGACAACAACGGTGTAGTAATGACGTGTTTTTCTGAGGAGTGGGATGGTTTTGTCAGTCATGTCTTTCTCATTAGCTGTATGCAGACTTACAGAACAGGCTCTCTGGTTCGTCTGGTTATACATTTGAATTCCTGTGATTTCCGAGTGTCATCATGTTGTTCTATGTTTAAGAATGAACACAGAATGAATGATTCATAAAATGTTGTCGGTACAACTCTCAGCAGGCCACCTGAGCTGCTCGCCTTTTCTCATTACTGTAGGAACTGGTCCTGTGTGCTGTCTCTATCACTGCCAGCACATACAATATGCAGTATGTAAAGTCAGTATCTGTACTGTGTGTGCTGTCGTGAAGACTATATGTAGTGTAGTGAAGTCTGACATATGCAGAGATACAGACTGACAGCTGCATGTTTTAATTTGTTAGGACTATTTGATGCAAGCCTTAGTACTCAATTTGGATTTAATACTCAGATCAGACTTTAGTGAGCTGGTCACGGTTCTGGACTGACCGGCTTGCGCAAAAGAACAATTATAAAGAAGTTAGAAGTAAACATGGAGGCCACTAAAGTCAGTGTTTAGGGTGAGTAAATGTGCAGCGTGAGCCAGCCTGAGCAGATGATAACAAGGACAAGGATGAGGAGAAAGAGAGCTAAGTATTTAATTATGGCTTTCTGAGGAGCAATGGCTGCCACTTCTGAACGGAGATGTGTGTGGATGTGGAGTCGGAGGTAGGAGTGGAGAAATCGTGACGTAAATGGCTTCACTGAAACAGCTTCCAGAATTTCAGGATGTCTAATGTTGATAATGTGTTTGTATTTACCAAGTGACTCCTGCTAGCATAGAATTGTGACGAACGCCGATCTAGAGTAGCATAAAAGTCCCATTACTTACAATATGACTGTTCAGACTCAGAGGTCGTATTGCAGAAAAAAATCAGACCTGTATCTGACTTAGGGACACGTGAAAAATCTGACGTTTGACACTTTTGCTTGCAGTAGTAACATAACCAAAGGCTCAGCTGGTAACACTTCTTTTTTTGGCTCAATGCTTCATCCTAACCACCCAAATGAATGTTTTAGTGTGTATTAGTCTGCAGATACCTCCTCTTTCATTCTGTATACACAGAAAGGAGCATCCAAATGCTTTAACCAAACCCAAAGTCATGAGGTATCATGAGACGAACACAATAATAAAAGTGAGTATTTACACATCAACAATATACTTTTAGGGTTGGAGAGGCCAGTCTCACTCCTAAGTCGTTGAAATCTGGCGCTTGGGCAGTGACTTGCGGCGTCAGAAACCAACAAAAAAAAGATGTCTTTTAACACATGATACGCGGCCAGTTGCAGCGTCAGGGGTAAACGCGGCAGGACAAGGATGAAAGTTAAGGTGGCAAAAGTCCGACTGGGGCTGGTGATGGGTCCAAAAAACACTGACTTTCACCCAAGAGAGCGGAGTTTGCCTCCCATAAGATCCTAAAGCCAAACCCTGTTAATTTTTCCTAAACCTAACCACGTATTTTTACTGTTGAAGGAAAAAAAAAAAACGACGTTGTGCTTTTATTTTGAAAGAGACTGTATGTAAATGGTAAATTTCCTGTGAAAACTGAAGTATATTTTGAAAGAAGGCAATACATGTAACAGGCAGAACTTGACACAGTGTCCCAGAACGTCAACAACGTACCTAGGATACCTTTCTGGACGTGGAAAGTCCATGACCAAAGGCTTATGTGTGACGAAGTCGAAGTGAGAATGTGTTGGGTTGGAGTCAGTGGAGTCGCGGAGCACGTAAGCAACACTTAGTTAAAGGTCTGAATGAGGCCAGCGTAGTGTAGCCACATAAAGTAACAGTGAAGGACAAGCCCACACGCACACGCACACACACAAACACACACACACACACACACACACACACACACACACACACACAGAAACTCTGACAGTTCCTTTGAAAGCTTTCACTCCAGTTTTCTTTGCTTTATTTCCACCAGTCCACAACCTTTTATTCCAGTTCCACCTACAGACGTCAAACACATTGTGTGCGCACACACACACACACACACACACACACACACACACACACACAGGTAGACAATCACACCCACAGACACCAACAGACACACTCACACATAGACACACACACAGTCTACTGGACATTGAGGGTGCGAGCAGACACTCCATGGTGCCAGTCTCTCAGCTCGTGGTACTTAGGACCAATCACCATCCGAGTGGTGGTCTTGTTCGTTCTGCCATCACAGGAAGAGAAAAACACCACACAAGAGGAAAAAGAATAATTTAGGAAAAACGTAGTAGTCGCCCTGCAATATGCAATGAGATACACTGTCAGCCATGCCACAAGAAAAGCCTGATGATACGGTAAGAGCTGCTGCAGCAAACACAAAGCTGATGATACACACAGAACGATTGATGGAGTGGAGATGTGCAGTTTCGCTGTCATCATCAGAATAGGAAATGACAGAGATCAATACAGACATCCGGAGAACAGTGAACTCCTGTGTCAGGAGGTCAAAATGCAGCCCATGAGTCTCGGCCAGTATGGACTGCAATGATGAATTATTTCAACCGTGAAGCCACACACCGACACCCACAGACAGTGGGAGTGTACACATGTTAACACAGGTGATCACAGACACATGGTGATCACATGTTTTGCCACAAACCAACCGAGAGCAATGGACAGCCGATGGATCACACCACACTGAGAACAACACCAGCGGTCTAGCCATGACTGTCAATGACACAACAGGTTATAACAGCATGCAGCACTGCAAGGCTGTCACACTCACAACCAAACACACAAACCATAACACAGGTGAGAACACTTCCAGCTACCAACATGACAGCGTTTAAAATCAACTTCCAGCAATCTCAGAGGGGAATTTAATCAAAAGTGCTTTCTGAACTTTTGGAGTGACTAAAAATATGGACACTGCACAGCGCACAGAGGTCTGGCTTTTGATTTAATGGCTCAAATGTGATCCTTTCTCTGCCGTCTAGACAGGAAGAACACAGCATCAGTACAATTGCCAGAACTGTGCCACAGTGATCTGCAGTCAGATTTACTGCTGCTCCATTTACTGGTGCTCTTCCTTTACATGTTAGAGTTACCTGACTGTGTTGGTTCAATCATATAACAGCATGAAATGTATTGTTACTCCACACAATGCACTTATACAAACAGCAACAAACAAAGCCGATGATAGGGAGCCTGGCACTGTTAAAACCACAGTCAGCAGTTTCGGAGCACTTACTTTGACTTCTTGGCTGTGTCAGCTTCCTCATCTTGAGCTGCAAGCGAAAGAACAGAAAGCCCATTACATAACAATACAATAAAAGTAATGTGGTCTTTAGCTTTTATTTATAATTAATCTGAAAGCGCTTTATTGATCTTTTGATTCAGAAATAAATGTTACAGTGGTTTCACGATGTTTGTTTGCTCTATGGAGCCCTGTGCTCAGATGTGTTCAGGTGCACGACTGTGATGACTTTGCAAAGATCATTACTGTGTCAGTAACGTACCACGCTCGGTACCGGTGATCTGAGCCAGAATCCTGAAAGATCTGGACTGGGTGGTGCCGGTGCGAGGGCGCCAGTCCTCTGTATCCTCCATTATGCGCTTCCTGCTGGCATCAGCATGAGTGGGCACATGGTAAAAATGGATGTCTGTGTCCACAATGTGCTTCCTGGGAACTCTGGAAGGACGGGGTAGAAGAGGATGGATGACATCAGCAAATATACTTTGAAAGTAATAAAGATGGAGACTGATGTCATTTCCTTAGAGGTTATTAAATTGAAATGTAAAACTTTTAATGTTGCGGGATCCAATGAAACATTTTATACTCGACTACTGTAAGTAAGCTCTGTCTGTCAGAGTGGGCTGTGAGACAAAGCCGTTTAGTCATTTTAGGATCATTTTAAGGATTTAAACTGATGTACATGTATTCACATTATTTACCACACAATACAGCAGTTAGAGGAATGGTATTATCAATATTTTTAGCCTGCAGGTTACATGAGGTGAAAATGTGGCACACTGTGAAAAAATCACCTACGATGTTTATTAGATTTATTAGATGAAAAATGGGGGAAATTCCACGGCACTTTGTTAAAGGTCTGAACCAATCTGATACCTTGGTGGTTGAGGTTTTCTTGAAAACCAATGACAGAAAAAAGCAGGACAGAGGAAAAAGGAAACAGACTGAATAAAGGCAGGGCAAAGTAGAACAACAACATTCATAACAGACATAGAGAGACAAAGACTTACTTCAGAATACTGTGAGGTCCACTAAAAGGGGAGTAAAGTAGAGGAAGAGATACAAGTTTGAAGAATTAATGAAATTCTTGTTTAAAGGTAGTAGAATATAGATGGAAAACCATATGCCACAACACCCAAGCATGCAAAACATGGAGCCAAAATATCCATGGAGACAAGTCAGTTCTGTTTTCAGCCACACGGTGGGGCTGCTGGACTGTCTGGGTTTCTATAAAGGTAAAGCCATGCACAATTTGAAGAGTTTGGAAAGAAAAAAAAAAACAGAGGGAGAATTTTATAAATGGTAAAGGAAAATTTGATTGCAGCATGATTATAATTTAACACTGCGGTGTGTGTTTTTGTGAGTGCATGAACAGTAAATATGTGCGAATCCACAGCGTTCCTTGGCAACAGAGTGCTGACAGGTTCGTTACTAATTGGCTGTCACTAAATCAACTCTCAGGGCAAACACACTCACATACACACAGAGGGGCATTGAAGACCGTTCAGTCTCCGCTGTCAATAAATCACCTATAAATACACACACACACACACACACACACACACACACACACACTCACCTAGCACATTGAATAGACTGATTTATGAGTGTCTCTCAACACGTTCTTGTCACAGCAGCAGCTATGTGGGTGTGGGAGTGTTGACGGCTCTATGTGAGAACACACTTACAGTTATACTGGAAGTGTCCGATAATGTTTGAGTGCGTGTGCATGTTCTCCCTTTGTCAGCGTGGGTGTTCTCTGGGTACTCCAGCTTCCTCCCACAGTCCGAAGACATGCAGGTTAATTGGTGACTGTCTGTAGGTGTGAACGTGAGTGTGAATGGTTGTCTGTCTCTATGTGTCAGCCCTGTGATAGTTTGGTGACCTGTCCAGGGTGTACCCCGCCTCTCGCCCAATGTCAGCTGGGATAGGCTCCAGCCTCAGCGCATTGTGTCTCACAAAAATCTTTCCATTTTAATTAGCTGAATGCATGTGTGCAGCAGTTCTCGCATAATTCAAACATGACAAATAAGGTAACTGAACTATAAAACATAACCACCATGAATCATGCTCTGCAGTAAAATCATAAGCATATGCATGCAGCTGCCATGAGAAAGTAGACACACAGGTACAGAGAGAGGTGAATGAGTAAAAAACAGAAGACAGGCAGTCGAACACTCATAACCTGACATGCTTCAGAGACTAACTTTGTGACTTGAGGAGGTGCTCCAGTCTGCAAAGCAGAAGAACAAGGGTTGAAAGGAAGAGAGAAAGACAGAGAACACTGACATGTCCAAATTCTGGTAAAACCATTGAAAGCCGTCATTTAAAAATCCCCTCTGAAACGAAGCACACATTTACAGCATGCAAAACAGGCAAGCACAATGCAATGACAAACATGCATGCTGTCTCACTTTGTCCCTTCAGCAAGCAAGAAATAAAAATTGAATTAACAGATACCAGAAGAAACTAACTGTATGAACCTGAACCTGTATGTTGACCTCTATTGTGGATGACCCTTTTCCAAACTCATACTTCCAGACTTCTTGGTGGATTTTCCAGACCATATGTGTCATCTAAGTACAAATAGCTAGTAGTTTAAATTGTATTATTTATATAAATTTTTGGCATTGTCAAGCCAGCTGTCAGAAAACAGCATTTATTCATTGTAGCTGTTCAGTCCATACTCCTACACAGGAAGTTGGACGATGTTTCACTGTCAAACATCTCTGCACAAAGAGCAAGGAAATGAACTACTGCTACCTATGCTCTCTTTTTTCCCCTTAACATATTGAATTAATAACACCATATCATTGTTGCCCCCACATCTTTTAGTCTCTTTTACAGTATAAATAAGAACCGAAAGTGAGTTGAAAAAACGTTAAATGGGGCACCCTGAGAAGGCTTATCCAGTCTTGGAAATGAGTAAAATCGAATTCCATACTTTTCAATACCGAAACCTGTTTGTAGTTTCAAAACAGTACATCACTGGAAATAAAAGCAAATAGGATTCAAAAAGGTGAAAAGAACACTGAGACAGAAAAGTTCATGTGAAGAAAGCAAGTCAAAGCCCTAAACTACTAAAGGCAGATCCAGATCTTGCTTTATTAAAGTATCCCATGATATTAAATGACATATGAGATACTTGGGGAAGGCTATGTACCCAACTGAAAGGCAGCTTGTGTGTCTGTGCGTGGCTGTAAGATTATATTGTGCAGATCGCTGGTGTCTGCTGAGTGTCACCGAGAGAGAAACCACGTATCCTTTAGTCAGAGTTTTGCCCACAGAAAAGAGCACACACAGAGTGTAAACATGAAATGTAGAAATTATGAGTCAGAAAAAGAGAATATTCAGTCCAGTTGGTGTCTTGAGGTCATAAAATCAAAAACATCCACCCTCTTGTTTTGTTTTGAGATGGATCACTAAGAAAATAAATGAAGGAATGAATGAAAAATGTGGCATGACGAAGGTGTGTTAGTCTGTGAAGAGACACAGCGCATGTGTAAATCTACATGGATTCAAGGCTGAAACCTTCATTGACTGACTGATTTGCTACAAGAAAATGCCACACCGATCTGGTTACCGATGCAGGCTATATATACACAGCTTAGTCATAGCATCACAGCATAGTTATACTCACTATGCCTTTGGAGAGAGGAGAGATGGGGATGCGGACAGAAACAGGCGGGGGGAAAAGATGATGGTGGGAGTTATGTAAAGAGAGGCGCTGAGTGAGCACTAAGTAGTTATTATTATCTTAAAGCGCTAGGAACCACTAAAATGTTTTAGATGCTGCGCTGCCTTCAAACACCTGACCTCGATACAAAATACAGCAGGAGGGGTGTAAGCAAAGACGTGTTTTAATAGAATATCATGAATGATTCATGAAAACTGGAAACAGAAAACAACAAAAATGCACTCACAAAGAGTAGGAGAGTGAGAACTGCTTGATTTATCTCATGGCAGTAAGTTGATATGTGTTAATATCAGTGAAAAGCCATCATGCTAGGGATGTTTTACTTTGTCCATACATATTTGTAATTATTTTATCTCTAATCTTTTGCAAAATTTAATGTAAATTTCATGTTAAAAAATCAGTGTAGCAGCATGGTTAGAGCAGTGGCCATTACTATGGGTAGCTTTGCCAACCAGTGTAGCAAGCTAATGTCAGTGTAAACTTCCGTATAAATTCTTGAATTCACTGAGATGAGATTTTGCCCTAATGACCAAATGAGCAGTGGAGTAGATTTCAAATAAGCAATCTGTCAGATTCAGATGTAGGCCTATTCTTTAATGTTTTCTACAGAGGAAATTTGCTTTTACTGTTACTTTTAAAAATATTACTGTAACTGTTTTTTCTCTGTTGCCATTAATTACATGTTTATTGAAACATGATGTATGTAAAGACGCGGCATGTGTATGGCCTCTAATTTTCAGGGCTGGTACCTGCGGTTATTTCACAGGCTAGTTAATAACATGTCGGGCAGGAAATCCAAAGTGTGGGATCATTTTGAGAAGGTGAAGGACGAATCCAAGGTGATATGTAAACTCATCTTCATTGGTCCACTACAAACATGACGTATCATCTGAAACATGTCAGTAGCTACATGCCCATTAGCCACTTAGCACAATCACTACTGCTTTGCCGACAGCGTCATTAACAGGCGGCTCGCTCAGTGTGTGACGTGCACTTGTAGATAAAATATAGGCCTATATTAATGAAGGTTCATTAGTACAGTTTTGTATTTCTCTGTAATGTAGCACAGTGTGAACAATGTTACTGATACTATTCTTTCTCACACCTTCATCTCAAACCATTGTGTTGCCCCTCCCCAAAACATATAATTTAATGATTAAATTAATATCGTAAACATGCAGACAACTAGTTGACTAATGGTCCTAAATGTTGGTTCACTAGAAAATTTCTTAGCCAGGGGCAGCCCTACTAATTAGATAACTAATAAGACTAACCACGATGGTTTCTGTGAGTTTTATTTAGTTTCTCTCAAGTTTGAATCAAGTGTTTTACCATGAGGCCAGCAATAGTCTTAGTGGTGAAAGAAAGAAACTGGGGTTGGTGTATAGTTGTATTTTTCTGTTTAATAAGGAAAATAGATGTAAGAATAGGCCAAAACAGCCCTCAAACCAGTAGGTGTGACACATTTTTCGGTTCTACTGAGGTGTGTTGTCACCATAAAAAACTAACAACAATCACCATTTTGTTTTGTACTGGTCAAATAACCCTAGAAAACAGTTGAATGTCTGTTCTACTCTCATTCAGTTTGTATGAGTTATGTTTCATTAGGCCTATGTTCCATTATTTTGACAAGACTGCAAGAGCTCCTCACAAGAACCCAACTATTAAATATCTATCATGAAGACTTTCCCCTCTCAAGTTCCTACAGTCAACAAACATTAACCCATTTTAGTTTGCTTACATATCCATGTTTCCAGACTGGTAATTAAAGTTCTCGAACATGACACAGTACACAAGGAACTGGCAATATATTTTCGTTTGTTGACGTTTGTATGTTATACTGAACCAGCAGCACGTTGCCAAGTTGTGACTGTCACTTTTCAACACTAATAAACAACATTCACAAACGGAGGCATCATAATTCGGTTTGTCTTGCTGAGTCAAACCGCAGATCTCGATACAGTGTGCAGCAGTATGTTTTTCTCGTCTAAACACCAAACAGACATGTAAGTCTGATTTAATGATGTGGAAGAACTTTGAAAAGATGTCAACATTCCAAGTCTGGCGAGCTGCATGGAATAAACAGTTTTCAATCAGAAACATAAACTGTGACATAAGATGGATAACACTAAAAATTTTATAGCAGACATTTGAGAGGTCATGGAGCATCTCGTCCTTTCGACAGCTTGAACAGAGCCAAGACGGAGAAAGTTGTAGGGAGATAAAAATGCAGAGAAGTGATTCATTTGTTTGATTGGCTGGAGAGAACGCCACTCACCCATTAAACTGCAAAGGCAAGGCTCCGCCCTGACTCTCCAACAGGCCCCGCCTCTGCCCCATGGCCACCTCACATGCGTTCTCAGTGGAGTAGAGGTTGATCGGTGTGTTATACACTGATGGCTGTGGCGCAACGAGGACAGGCGGGGAGGAGGAGGAGGAAGAGGATGGGTCAGAGACAGGAGGTGGAGGGGGAGGAGGAGAGCTGGTTTGGGAGGAGGCAGGAGTGAAGGCAGAGGATGGGGATGGGATGAAGGGAGTGGAAGGTGACTGTGAGGGAGGGTACCCACTCTCTGCACAGCACCCGAAAGGTCGGGGGGCCTTGTTGTAGTGGATGGTGGAGGGGCTGGAGGAGTGAGGGTGGGGGTGAGATGGTGGAGGGGGATGGGTGAGGGCCACTGGTTTTATGATGTCTGATCTGTTGTCCTATCGGCATGAGAGAAGAGCATGCAAATACAAACGAAAAACAAATCACAACACAGCACACGCTATACTGATGCCTCTCAGGTCGTATTTTGTGTTTGTACCACAGGCTTTATGCTGTATAAAGCTCCGATCATACAGAAAGTGTTTTACAGGTTGCAAAACACGAGACGCACCGCACCACCTTTTTTTAAAATTAAATGCCACTTGTGAAAAAAAAACGCCTTCTTCGTTTTTTTATTGTCATTAGTTGCTTGTTACAAAAATGGACAGGCAGTGGGTACCTGCTGTAGCTCTGGTTGAGGGTGAGAAGCTGTCAGTAAATAGTTTGTTGGGCACAGGGAAACGGAGATCTGTGTGGGTACATGAGACCCTATTATGATGGTGGATCACAGGAGTACCACCAGTTGGTCCAGGAGCTTCGCATCCATGACGGCCATTTCCAGGCATATTTTAGAATGACTTGGGAGCAATCTGACTACCTGCTGTCTATCATTAGGCTGTATAGCTCTGGGTATGAAGCAACCGCTACCACCAGCTTCTCCTCCATTGTTTACCAACTGCTAACTTGTTGTTATGACCACCACAGAGGGCCCGCCTCTCAAATCATCCGATTGGACAATGGGAGAAAAGCTGAGAGGATGTGAGGCGCTTTTGAGCTCTCAATTGAAGTTTTTTAACTTAAGGAGTTCAGAGCGCTCCGGCAAAAACGCGAGGCACGTCGCAACACAAAAACTCCTCCAGCTGCTAAAACACTTTCTGTGTGATCAGAGTCTAAGAGTCAAAGCTTATAATCTGCCCATACAATACAGTTTGATTCAATTTAAGAATGGCTGGAAAAAATCAATCAGTTTAGTTCCTGTAAATGTGATCTATGATCTTTTTGGGAATAGAGAAGCATCAGTATATTGAATTGTCATTTAAAATAAAAAAAACATGTAGCAACATAAAAAAACATGATTACTAAAAGTCAAGACAGTGGTGGTTTTCATGCAGCAAAATTTGTGTGCATGGCATCGTTTCAGAAGGGTGTAGTTAACTACAGAAATGTAGTTAAAGCACTTGGTACCCCAGGTGATTTAGTTTTCCCTTTCTCTTTTATTATATGCAATCAGTCACTGATTTAATAACTTTTCATGTCACAAGTTTCTTTTTACTCTTCAAAAGTAACTCCACAGATTACAAAACAATTACATTATTCTGAAATTACAAATTACATTATCTAAAAATGTATCTATCTGTCACTTGGCGTGCCTCGTGTTCATCACATAGTAACATTTTATGATTGCTTTGTTTCTACAAATAGACAGGCTGTGCAATAAAGTGTATAAAATGTTCTGTCGTTTCAGTGACATGCTGTGTAACAGTACCTTTGGTGCCACAGGAGGAGGAGATTTTGTAACACTGGGGGCCCTGGAGAGAGAGAGAGAGAGAGAGAGAGAGAGAGAGAGAGAGAGCAGAAAGAGACAGTGCATGAGTTATGATTGCACAATTCTTTTTCATTCCAACATTTTCTTTAAAATTTCTGATATCTGAAAATGCATTCTCATAGTAGATTTAAATGACTGTTAGCTAACACCATGTGGGTAAAATAGCTCGGGTTTTACTGTAAAACATTAAGATCTTACTGAGGTTCAGAGAAACTGTGGTTATGGTGAAGTATGACTACACTTGACCTCTCAGCATAGAGGCCCATGAGGACAGTCACCTTGCATCTGTGTGTCTATGAAACTTAACTTGCAAGGGTTAAAAAAGTGTGGCCTGTGTGTTTTTTAAGGCAGCTGTTTTTAGCTTATAAAGTCTTGTATCAATCTGATACTCTTGGTCTTTGATACTCTCGATGCCATGAGCTCACCTAAAGGTCATCTGAGGAACATGCCTGTAGCTACCCGCACTGTTGAAGTGAGCCAGAGGTGATAACAGATCATTTTTCAGCTGTTTACAGTGTTTTTATTTGGCTGGTTTAAATGGATATTGATTGAATAGCACACTACTCAATACAACATTAACTAAAACAATCATTTACAGCAGTTATGGATCAATCTTCCCTCTTTTCTCTTAAGTCATTTATATAAAGGAAACAGATACACACATGGAACAAATGAATGGTTGCAGTGGTGCGTGATGATAGCGTGATATAAAGAGGAAAATACAAGAGTTAACGTAAAGTAAAGGTTAAGTAAGCTGTGCAGTAACCGAAGACGCGTGAATCGCAGCCGCCCCGCATTCCTCTCAGAGCAGCCCTTCTCGAAACTTCCAGAGGGAGGTTCATGTCCTTCACCTCTGCAAATTTGAACCGACAGCCTTGTAGTAGCTGAAAACACATCAGTCAGAGAGAGCTACTTGTGCACATGGCTTCGTCTTCACTGCCTCTTGTTCCTCAGTCGTTTGCCAACAGTGTTCTGATAATGCCGTTCTGCTCCGTCAACACATGAGGATCTGAGATGATTTCAACACCTGAAGCAAAATAGGCATCTTGCCATTAAACTATTGTACCGCAGTCAGATGTAACTCTCAAGCAAAGTTTGAAGAACTTTGGAGGAGAATGATGAGCAGGTCTGAGCTTAACATCTTCCACACTGTGAGCTGCCAACAAAAATGTTTACTGATAAAATCCTCTGAGATGGGAATGTTTAAAGAACCCTGATTGTGGTTAGGGTTTCACACTCAGAGTAAAGAAGAGTGGATTAGGAGTTTATATGTGAATAAACTTATGTCACTTTGTAGCTCTTGCCAAAGCAGTTCACACACTGATTAAGCCTCTAGAGAAACTTTCTGTATTTCTCAATATACTGCAGTTTGGTGTCACATTTCTATGCAGGTGTGCTAGAAATGATACATTTTATGTGAACCAACCAATTGTATTCATTTATTCTTTGACATTACATTTGTTTCGGTTTTGTTGTCTTTTTCTGTTTTGCACTGCTTTTCATTTGTATGTGCATGATTCTGATGTTTCTTCTGATACTATGTTGACAGTTTGAAATAAAGAATTAAAAATTGTGCATAGCGGTAGTTCAGGCAGGACACGATGTCAAGCTCATCTCACATCCCAGCTACATCAGCTGATCTCAAACAGCTCAATCAACTGATGGAGCAGCTGATTGATGGAAGGGAGTCAGGTGATAGATCACATGATTCCTTTCTATGCAACCAATTGGTTAATCTCATTCAGGGTGCCCTATTTAAACTGCTCTAGCCTGCCTACTGTTGCTGCTTCCTCAGCAAGCTGCTTTGCAACCTGCCTCCACCCCAGCTCCTCCTTTTCATGCTGTGTCTGACTTATCATTGTCATTTCTGTTTGTCATTGATGCTGCTCTGTTCTGTTCCCAGGCGCTCTCCTTGCCTCAGGCTTTCCATGTAGGTGCATGGAAGGGCAGGGAGGTTTGCCCTCTCTGCCTTAGACTTTTGTTGTTTGCACATGGAAGGGCAGAGATTTGTGCTCTCTCTGCCTTTGGTTTTCCACGTAAGCTCGTGGAAGATGCTTTCTGCCTAGGCCTGAGGAAAGGCAGCGAGGCCCCAGAACAGAGCCATGCCACCAAATATAACACTGCAAATGGAAATAAAGTTTTCTTTGACTAAAGTGTTCCTGACTGAACTAGAATTACCGCCTCACTATTGTAAGCCTTCGCCAACCAGTCAAGTTTCAATTTGCATCCATGTTTGTCCAGACTCATATTTAGCCATGACATTAGACAGTGCTACAAATATGGATGTTGCTGCAAAGACGCTAGCATCTAAAATAGGAAACTAGTAAATTAGTATCTGACCGAATGTTATGACATCAAATAATGTTCAGAAAAATGTTCTTGCAGAACAGTATGATGTCACAGTGAAGACCTTTGACCATATGGATATAAAATATCAACACTTTGTCATTATATTCAATATAGAATCCTATATAGTGAAATTTTGTCAGAATTAGTATATGACTTCTTGAGTTGAGTTATGGCCAGAAACTTGTTTTGTGAGGTCACAATAGCCTTGACCTTTATCCACCAAAGTCTAATCAGTTCATCCTTGAGTCCAGGTGGTCATTTGTGCCAAAAAGAAATTCCTTCCAGGCATTCCTGAGATATCGTGTTAGTGAGAGGATGGACAACCTAATGCCTCTGGCCACAGCATGGTGGTATAAAAAGGAAGGGGGAAGGAACCCTGGTGACAGAGCCGCAGCTAGGTGTAAGTTATGGTGTAAAATCCTGTGAAGCATCAAGGAGAAGTTTCTGGAGTGGATGCCCCAGCAAAAAAAAACAAAAACAAACAGAATCTCAGTGTTCAAAGTAAGGATTTAAGTGAAAAAAAAGAAAGGCAAAATAAAAGGTGGCAAGCACGCATCAAATTACTTCCGCTGCCAGATGGGGGAGACTAAGGCAGAGACTCCCCCGCTCAACAAGCAAAGGAATCCCTCCGGAGCATCTACTAAAGCGTTAAGGACATTCCTGTTATCATTTTAAACAATACATCTCATCTGTTTTTTGTCTCAGTAGCACTATATCAGCAGTACACCTAGCTTGTGGGTTTCCATGGACACACTATACTGTAAATAGTTCAACAAGTATCCAATTAGGGTGACAACAAAATATTTACTGACATCAAAGCTGATCTGAGGACAGCAATGATCTCCCTTGCGCAACCAATGACACAGACAAGTGTGAGGCACATCGAGTAGGAAGTGGAACGCCAGGGTATCAAGTAGGTATTTCAAATACGTCACCATCATCCCTGTGTGCTGTAGCCTCGATTACACTGCAGCTAAAACTGGAAACACCAACATGGAAATGTGTTGGGGTCATATGGTAAGAGGGAGGGGAAAAAAAAGATGCCCGCTAGAACGTGAATGAGAACCAGAGTTTATTTTAACTCAGAGGCTTTCAGAGCTTTTTCTCCAGGGAAAGGTAATTTCAGGCTTTCAAACAAGCAACCTACTGGTTTATTAACATGCCTTTTATGTTGCTGGGACTCTGGGAGAACTTCCGAGGGTTGTAACTATCCAGGTTGATCTTCCTGAAGCCTAAGAAGCCGTTTGTGTCAACTGTGGCTCAGAAAACGTGTTTTGAATAAATGCTGCATTCGTGGTACCTTTGGTATTAAAACAGCAGTAACCAAATTTGATTTTCATTTTGAAATTCGGGAAGGATAAAAATATGTCACTAGAATATGGGGCTTTTGTTGGGGGCTGACGACAGCGGAGGAACAACAGGACTTTGCGCCGTTTCAAACACTTTGCCAGAGGAATGTTTCTTCATAGCTCAAATGTGTGAGGGTCAGAGAGTAAGTGGATGCAATAAAGACACTGACAGTGTCACGGTGACAAACATGACATTACGTCTACCTCCCTGCACACCGAATGGAAACATTTACTGGCCTGTACATGTATGTGTGTGTGTGTTCTCCTGACCAACACTTTAATTTGATTCATACTTTAAGAGCAGCTGCTATAAAACATGTGCTCTGCTCTCTGCGTTTGCATTTGTATCCCTGCATGTTCCATGTTAACTGTCAGGCTGTACGTGTCTGCGTTTCTTTTACACCGTTTCATGTTCATGGAGGTTTTATATCATATAACAGAGCTCTTGGTCTGTTCATGTAACTGTGAGTCTGTGTTTTTCCAGCCAGTCTTTGTGGTGACAGCCATTTTGGTTTTGCTTTGATACCTCACCACATCCGAGTGCAGGCTGTGGCTGCGATGATGGAGCTAAAACATGTTTCCATATTCCAAGTTATTTAAAAATCAGTTTATTTGTCTTTTATATTTGATCATCAGGGTTTGCGTGCGCAAAAATATATTGTTGTGTTAGTCTGATTTTTGATGGATTTTTGGGAAATGCAGAAACACTGACAACCTGCTTTCATGGGCTGTTATTATCTCTGTTCTGTTTCCACTCTCTCCAATCATTATTTTTTAATTTAAAGGGAAAACAGTGAGACGTCTTTCAAAAATGCCATCCAGCTCTGCAGGAAATATTGTAAACATGTGTTGCAGAGCTTTTGATACAACTGTATTTTAATATGTGAGCACATTCTGCGTGATGTTGAATCTATCATATTCACATATTCTGTGAGTGTCAGGACATCTTGATCTACATTTCCTCCCCTGATAAAGACAACTAGAGCTAAAGGGTTATTAAATGTATGATCTTCTTGTCAAATCTTTCAAATGGTATATTCTGTTTTTATGTCCCCCCATTTATAACGTTAACGCTCCTCTGAGTCTCTTTACAGTTTCTCTAACATTTATGCATTACAGTAAATTGATCTGTCATGAAGAGGAAGATGCCGTCTCTTCTTCACCTCCTGTCAAATCACCCGTGCCCTCGCGGCTGTTCAGTGTTCTCAGTTGTGCATTTGTGTTTAATCTCTCCGGTCTATTCTTACTGGAGTGAGATCACTGACCGATGTTTCCAGGGCTGTGC